GCAGCTAATGACAATTTAATTTCATTTATCTCTTACTTACTTTGTGTTTGTGTGTATGTATTTGGTTACATGTGACCACAAGAGGGAAAAATGAGAGAATTGTCTGTCTTTTGGTCCACCTGAATCCTAGCATTCCAAGCCAAGTTGTATGGCTCTAGAGAAGGCCACTGTGCTCTCTTGACAGTCCCTTTTATATTTCTTAGTGACTCATCCTAGAACAAAACTAGTTTCTATCTGGAAGGAAGAAAGGGAATTATATAAATGAGTCTGTGGCTTCTATGACATAGAAAGGGAAATTAAAACAACTCCAGTTTTAGGGTTTTGTGGGGGTTTTCATTCTTCCACGGCACTATCCATTTCTATTTCACTGAAACACAGGCTATTTGTTTTCCAGATGGTGCTGATCTTTCATACCTGCTTCACAAAGGGCAGAGGATGTTGGGTTGCCAGTGTTTACCCAAGCAAAAATTAGTTTGGGAGTCTCTGAGAGTCTGGACAGCAGCAAAGAACAAATACATATTCTCACTTAGACTAATAGAATAAGGAAAGAAGAGGGAATCATCTTGTGGGACACTCTAAACCAAATCAAATCTCAAATTCTTATAATCCAGGGTCTCCCACGCTATGGAGCACCCCATCAATGTCTCAGATGCCTCTCTCCTTTGCAAATAAGTTGCTTCCGCTTTGCACAAGGCTGTTTCTTGTCTTTTAATTCTTCAATTGATGGAGAAAATTTAAGCAGGCATCAAATAGATTGCTACATGCTACAGTTCTAGCAATAACTTTATATTTATCTTTTTCTCCTCCTTTGAAAGAAAATAAATAATTTGCATGGATGAATACATGGGTCCTCTGAGAAGTAGGAAGATCTTTCAGTCAGCTTGTGACGAAAAGACAGTTTTGTTTTTTTATTTATTTTCCTATGGAGCATGAACACGTGAGAGCAGTGAATGCATGTGTCACCCTGCTGGGAACAGGGCGCTCTGTCTATTAAGGCTGTATGTTGCCTTTTCAGGTTTTGTCAGCAGGAATTGAAAAAAAAATTGAAAAAGAAAAAAGATAAAAGAAAAAGAAAATTCAACAGAGATAATTCACAGGGGGCCGCATAGCACACAGTTAAGTAGAGATGGCAGAGTGTGTGAGCAAGCATCCTTGCTGAGCACTGTCAGAAAAATAAAAGTGGTACTTTGGATCGGAAGGAGCAGCATGGGGTGAACTCCACAAAGAGAGAAAATAACACAAATTGTCTGCCAGAGATAAACTAGTCAAGTTCCAGGATCGAGGTTGTTTCTTCTTTCTGGTCAATTGACAGCTTCCCAGGTGGGGGTGACTAGGTGCAGGGGTGATACTTAGAGTCATGAAGTGTGTGAGTGTAAACCACTTAGAAATGCATGATATTGAAGCTATTCCATTTAGTGAGCCCTCACTGGGCAGAGGGAAGGGCTGGGAAGTAAACTGTGTTAAGCACACATGAAGTTGGCTTTACTCTTCTGGACCTTTAAAACAGATGACAAGCAGTTTTGGGCAAATATAACAACCGTACCACCTCCACCTCTCCTATTGAGTGTGACATTTTGAAAGGTTCACATTAGTCCTAAAGGGATTTTAATAGATCTTAATAAAGTATAACCCTCCACCTTAATTTTATAGCCCCATATAAGGGTTTTCTCAATCATCAAGGAATTACATGTTTGTTAGTCACCCATCTTTTCCATTTAAAGAGACATGAATAGGATAGGCAAGATGTCTCAGTGGGGAGCGGAGCTTGTTGCCACGTGTAGCAGCTTGAGTTTGAGCCTGTGGACTTATAAAGTGAACTAACTCTCCTAAGTTGTCTTTGACATTCACAAGTGCCTTGGCATGCATGCACTTGCATTTCCTTTTTGTGTGCCCAGGCATTCTACAATACTACATACACACATAGAGGGGGGGGGGGAGAGAGAGAGAGAGAGAGAGAGAGAGAGAGAGAGAGAGAGAGAGAGAGAGAGAGAGAGAGAGAGAGAGAAACACAGAGAGAAACACACACAGAGAGAATATAGTAAAGATTTTAAAAAGGTAAGGCAAGAATCAGAAGGGCAAGGTCAAATGTACAGGTTCTGTTTAGCCTAACTTAACTTGTGTGGCACTGGAAAAAGCGATAGCAAACATGGTATTCCATTCCTTTCTTCGTTGTTTTAAAGAGCAAGGGTGCCGTTATTCGTGCCCTCTGCTACTGCACGTCACTGTGGAATTTTGCATTCCATGTTTTGCATGCCTCTAATACCAAATCAAGTAAGAATGTCATTAAAATTTTAAAAAAGTATTATGAAACCTATCAAACACCTGACATTTAATTTAAGTCAGACCTGCCATTCATTTTTAATAACATTTATGAATCTGTGAGATGGAGGAAATCAATATGGGTTTTTAGAAAAACAAAATCAGCAGGAAGTAGAAGACCCTCAGCTATACTTTGATTTTTTTTCCGGGAAGGCATGGGAGGCTGTTGTTTTGTTGTCCCTGTTATCTAAGTGCTCCTGCACTCCTTTACTCAGCTCGGCCTGTGTTGTTAGGGAAATATTTTAATGTAAAGCTGTAGCCATCAAAGTGGCATTCCTTCTGATCCCCCCAGAGCTCTTTCCTTTTCTCTAGTGTGTCTTAGGTGCCTTCCATTACTAAGAAAGATGAATAAGCAACGTGTGTGTTAAACGGGTTCCATCGCTTGTGTTTCGAAGGCTAAGAGGAAAGGAAACGCCTTACCACTCAAGAGCATCTGCTGGAGGAGAAGGTAACCCCAAAGGTGCAAAGGGATCGGGGAGGAAGAGCCTCTGGGATTCAGATGGGAAAGACAAACATAAATAAGAGAATGTGGAAGAAGCAAAATCTGAAGATCTACCAGGGATGTCAGTTGGTACCCAGAAGAACGGAATATTTAGCTTTAAATGATGTAACTGGTTTTAGTGAAAGACAAAGTGCTGATCGATGCTGGCACATGCCTTTAATCCCAGCACTCAGGAGGCAGAGACAGGCAGATTTCTGTGAGCGAGTGCCAGCATAGGCTCCAAAGCTACACAGAGAAACCTTGTCTCAAAAACAAACAAAACAAAGCAAACAACAACAACAACAAACCCAATAGATTAACAAAGAAATGGGGTTTTCTTCCTGATTAGAATGAAGTCACTCATAGAAGCTGAATGTTCTTTATGTATCAATTATCAAATGCTAAAAATCATACTACCTCAGGAAATCAATTAGTATGTAGGCAGCAGTTTCTTTCCCATAAGCTGCACAGCCCCTGGAAACCACCAAGGCCTCAGGTTGCAGCCCCAACCTCAGGCTTCTATGTGATCTTTGGTGGCAATACTGGACTCAGATTTCAGCACAGACCCCAACAAAGGTTGGACCACCGACCCAGACATGTGGAACTATGTTCTTACCCACCATCTAATTCCTATAAGCCAAGATACCAAATTAACATGAAACTAGGATTTTCCCAGAACATCATTTCCATAGTAAGGAGAGGATTGGCTCTTTACTTTTCTGATAAAAAGGAGGCACTTGGGACTGATTATCAGAGGTTAGCCTATGATAGTGTCAGGATGAAAACAAATAGATAAAGATTTTGTTTCAGTGACCTCACATATAAAATCTACTGTGAGACTTTTGATGGGATTCAAGGCTAGGTACCAAAAAGGAAAAAATACAAAGATTGGACCTTAAAAAGTAAAGAAGATTGGAAAAGTTTCCTCCATGTACAGTGAATCCTATCGTGCCCACAGTTTCTGTATGAGAAGGAATGTTGACATTAGTATACTTATATATCTCTGCAACATTTTAATTTCATAATAAAATATTAGTGAGCTCAAATATACAAGAAAAATCACTCAGCAATTGAATTGAATGAGATAAATGTGGCTGTACTAGATAATTTTTCACAAGGAGAAGTAAAATAACATTTTGTAGGTGTTCTTAGAAATTCATTAAGATTTTATATTCTTTAAAGATCACCTCTGTAGATAATTTCAATAAGAATCACAAAGCTCTCAGGACATGTTCATATCTGTTTGACTGTAACCTTGAAATTCTCAGCAGTCCTCACATATTCATGAATGGCTGGGACTATCAAAGCCTGATCATCCCTCAGGTACCTTTGTTTCCAATAACATGATGTATGTGAATCAATGGAGTCATGTTACTAAGGTGAATGCAGTCAGAATTTCCTAGCAGATATGGAAAATATCATAATTAAGCTTTGACTGTGTTCATTTGAAAATGAGTGCTGTTCTTATTATTCTACTGAGGCTGCTCACACCCATGCACAGGTCTAAATACATTCATTTTGGGTATTGCTGTGAAACTGGGAAGGAAGTGTATTTTGGCAAATTCACATCATTACCATGTGCAAGTATTATGAACCCTGAGCTCCTTGTTTATTCAATTCATAACTCTGGTAAACACATCCTATAAGCAAATGTGCTCTCTGCACACTTGTAAAATTGATCACTTAAAGATGTCTCTCCATATTAAGTGTGTGTGTGTGTGTGTGTGTGTGTGTGTGTGTGTGTGTACACATATGTGTATACTTATGACTTATGGATCTTATATGACTATAGGATCACAGTCCAGAGGATATTGAATGTCCTGCTCCATCAGTCTTTGTCTTATTCCCTTTACATCCTCTGAATTCCATCTTAAATGACCCATCACTGTAGGCACAGGCAATCATGCTTGGCTTTTTATGTTGGTGGTAGGATCCTAGTCCAAGTTCTACTTGCTCACCAAGTACTCCTACACACTGCACTGTTTCTCACTTTGACAACTGGTTTGTTTTTTTCAATTATGATATTTGTGTAATTTTTTTCACATTTTACCTAGTATGTCATACTTTGTGCTATGCTTTGTTTCTGTCTTCCTGGGTCTGTCCTCCCTTTGCTCTTTGTCCCAGGGAGTAGTACGGTAACTTATTCTCAACTGACTAAGAAGTAGCTTGTCACAATATTAATATATAAAATAAAACTTACTGGAGTGCAGTCTTGTTTTTACTTTGGGTGCCTCCAGAAGAAGCTAAGACCCCACTGCTAAAGACACTTAACACTTCAGAGGCAAGATTCGGAGGAATTGATTGGAATCGGATCCAGAGGCCTCCTCACTAAAGACTAGCTCTCAACACTTCAGCAGGAGTAATTCAAGCAGCCAAGGGAGAACAGTCCTATCCAGTAACAATGCCTGAAAAAATACAATGACAGTTATGGTGAAACATTCCTAAGGGTGGCACCTATATCCTGGGTATAAGCAGCAGTCACATATCAGGACTTCGGGTCCACTCAGTATGAGAGAATTCATGACTGGCACTGTAAATTTAACCAAATACCCATGACTACTGTGGATATGGAAACAAAAGGAGAACCTATAACTGCCATTTTCCTAAATTAACACAATCACTGACTGCATTTAAATGCTGTTGCCAGGCCTTGCCTGGCATCGGTTGAGGTCCAACATGTCCTGGCAGCTTTTTCTAAAGTTCAGAGATAGAGAGACTCCCTCTCCATCAGCAAGACTTCCTGCTCTTAACCTGCCCTCATCTGGAGAATGTACCTGGCCCCCAGGCCTGGCCTTATCTGAAAGCTTACTGTAAGCCTGGATGCCTGATGTATCTCCAGGGTAACCCTTGGCACAATTTCCTGCTAGAAGTCTTTCCCCTGATGCACATATGGTAATTAAGACTTGTACTAGGAGCTCTGCTATAGAATCCTGCTGCCACATACAGAGCAGTATAGTAGCAGCATGCTATTTAATGCAAATTAGAGTTTGTACTCAGGCTTCTCGATTCTATATATTCTCTGTACTCTGGAATAAAGCTGAGCTGATTCACCAGACTCATCTTTTGGAGGGCTGTTTCCATTGTACATACAGACATATTGCCCACTCCTGCTCCCTCGACCATTGTGGACCAATGCACCAATAATCCTGAGGATGAAGAACAACCACAGAATACTCACCCTTATATCCAGAGATAAGGGCAGCTCTCACTTCTCATCCAGGAAGTTTCTTCATTCAGGAAACTGGGAATTTTACCGAAAACAACAACAGGTCAAAATGCAGAGTTCTACTGATCATGGAGTCCTCAACTCCAGTTAACACATTTAGAATACAACCCCAACTTCTAAGGCTCAGAGATGTCAGGAAAGGGGGAAAAATATAAAACAGGTAGCCAAAAAATTATGAGTTGTCTGAGAAATTAGACAGTAGGAGGGAGGATAGGATGACGAAGACATACTGTGTGCAACTCTCTAATTATTAATGAAAATGTATTAAGTGATAAAATAAAAATTGATACCTAATCTTCAAAAGGCTAAATAGGCAGCTACTCATCAAATATCAGAGTTTCCCTGTGTTCCAAATCTACCTAATAACATGAGATGTGATCACAGCTATCTCTCTGCTCTATTTCTATGGAGTAGTTGCAAAAAACCATCAGTCTCAATGTATTTACATCTTGGGAAATCTAGCATGGCTGGGAAGCCATTTTGCCACCATAATAAAATATTCTACTTGTTTGAGTTGTAGTCACAACTCATCTGTATTGATATACTGTTCTGGGAGAAGGTCACTCTTGATGGACTTCACTTACGAGTATCTGAGATACTAGTACAGTACTTGTAAACTTGAGAACTTGATATTCTCAGAAACAAAGAATATTAATGGGATAATTAGTACATGTTGTTCCATAGAAATTTACAGGATTTCTCAGCACAGTTCTCGGTAGACATGGTGTCGTGCAAACTTTGTTGGAAACTTGACTGCTAGATTGGATGGCTTTGTTTCCACTTATCTTGCCTCCGTCTTTCATTTCCCTAATTTATTTCAAGGTTTACATCTAATTTAATTTTCCCTAATTACATTGTCCTTTTAATCGTTCTGGATCACCATGGAGCATAGGATACTCTATGTAAAAATAATAATTCTTACTAAAGAAGTCATAAATTTGAAAGGGCATGAAGAGACTCATAGTATGAGTTTGAGGAGAAGAGGGAGAGCTAAACATTGTATGAGAACAGTACTCATGTGCAAAATTCTTAAAAGATAAAAATTTAAAATATCCATTTGTAGGGGAAGCTGTAGCCACGCCTGCTTAGGGGCTGGCTACAAGTCTGCCTGACCATGCCTGCAAGGGCATGGTCAGGGTGACAGAGGGAGAGGCAGTCAGTGGCTGGTCACTTTTGGTTATTTTTTTCGGCTTGCTGTATAGACTGCTGCCACACCGGCTGGCTAGGTCTCTCTGTAAGTAAGGCTTTTCCCTATTAAATACCCTTATATTTTTCCTTGGCTCCATATTGGTAATTTCCCACTTTATCTGGTGTCAGAAGTGGGATACGATGTTATCTTGCCATCCAGAGAATACCCTTCTGGGATTCTGATGCAGAGGGAAGACACTATATTGGAGTGGATATTTCTGCCACATAAACAGAATAAAAAGTTAAAGACATATATAGAAAAGATTTCTGATTTGATTTTAAAGGGAAAATTAAGACTTCTTCAACTGACTGGAAAAGATCCAGCAGAAATTATAATACCTTTAACTAATGAAGAAATTTCCTCCTTGTGGAAGTATAATGAATATCGGCAAATAGCTCTTACTGACTTTTTGGGAACAATTAGCAACAACTATCCCAAAACTGACAGAATTAAATTAAAAAAAAGACAGTCTGGATTCTTCCACATATTGTAAGACAAACTCCCATTTCTGGAGTTCTTACCTTCTACACTGATGGCAACAAATCAAAGATGTACTAACCTGTATGGAAACCAGGACATGTCTTACATTGGGGTAGGGGTTTTGCATTGGTTTCCACAGGAGAAGACAAACTTTGGATATCAAAGCTGATCAAGATTCGAGTTGAAAAGACAAGCTTCTCGACGAGGAAGAGTGACCGGTATTCTACTAAGGTATATCTTATAAACTAAATAGAAACCTCCCAAAGCAAAGGCAAGTGTTTTGCTCTTATCTTCATAGGAAAACTTATCCATGGGGTAGGGGTTTTGCATTGGTTTCCACAGGAGAAGACAAACTTTGGATATCAAAGCTGATCAAGATTCGAGTTGAAAAGACAAGCTTCTCGACGAGGAAGAGTGACCGGTATTCTACTAAGGTATATCTTATAAACTAAATAGAAACCTCCCAA